ATATTGATATTTCTTTTGGGTGATTTGAATCTCTTTAATCTCATCTTTGTATTACCAACACTTTTATGGAAAATGTGGTAATCAGATTTCATACATGAGCCAGATATATAATAAAATGAGATTTGAGATTAGTTTCTGAATAGGTAAGTGAGAAAACAGAAATTACTAGTGGTTAAAAGTGTCTGAATATATTCTGATTATATCGAGTCATCCTGGGTGACATGAATTTGTATTACCTCTAAGACTTTTAGTTGGAAGGCACTTTGTGAACATCTTCTCTGTTAAGAAACACTTTGCATTCAAAGCTGAAGATACCTTAGGAATCCAGTCATAGAAGGATGGACTGTTGTGTGGGTATAGCTTTGTATTTCTAGATAAGCCACCTTCTCTCTCTCTCTCTATCTCTCTCCCTCTCTCTCTCAATCTTAACATATGCACAATAAGAATGAGGCTAAAATGGGTCTCAAATCTCATCAACCTTTGACATAGTCTGATTCTATGATTCTGGAGAGACAAGCTCTTCATAAAAGAAATTCTTGAGGATAAAGAACTTATCAGGACATTCTATCAAGTGGAAAATGTTTTATGAGAGCAGTCTAAGGCATGCACTCACACACACACCTTACTATCACCAACATCACTGCCATAATACTTATGTAGACTTGGCAAATTTTGTGACCCTTGCTATCCACACTTACTTTCTCCATGAATAACTGGGTTGTAATAGTATCTATTGTGATCATTAACTGAGATCATATAGACAGCACTTGACAAGTAATGCTTTTCCCTACTTAGTATTACCTTTGCTACCATGAATAACAAAATACATGCTATGAACTCTCCAGGTTCTAGACTTAACATCCATAATATCCAATATGCAAGTAATTACATTTCAAAACTTTCATTGTGCAGGGAGCAATATGTAAGAATTTAAGTTCTAACCTGTTGCTTTATTTTATTCATGTTTGGGATTCTTTTTTACTCTTGTTCACTAAAGGACAGCTCATAGGTACAGAGTTACATACTTTTTCATTACTTCTGTTTATTCTTGCAGTTTTCCAGAAATTCCACTTAGAAAACTGATGATGGAATGTGAAAGTGGTAGTAAAAACAAAGAAAAGTAAACTAAGAATGATTACACGGTGGCATCCATGCTTAGAATGTTCTTTTGTTTCTGTCTTTACATTTGGAGCTTCAGCATTATAATCTTAGGAGGTGAAGAAATGGCCACTTTAGGCTCAGATATTTCTGGAGCAAACTCCGTAAGTACCACCATGGTTGCTACAGAGAGCACACTAGAAGAAGAGGCTGGAAGGGCTGGATAGAGAGAGCGAAGTGATTCATTCAGCCTTTCCTGCCCCACCCAAATACAAACAACAGATAACTTTTCCTTCTACCTTAATTTATCTGGTTTCGTCTAGTCTGGAAAAAGAGCATTCCACTTTATGCAAAAGGTGCAACCACATGAAAGAACCTATTTAAAAGTGCATGTTTTAAGCTTTTTCCTATAAATCATTTTGCTTGCAGCTGTAAAGCTAATTGTTCTTAAAGCTAACAAGGATTATCTTTGTTAAGCCACGTTTGCTATTTTAAAACAAGAGAAAAAAGGAGAGGGAGGACTGTGTCTAGAAATTTATATTTTTCTGTAATGAGGGAATTACACAAAGATATAAATTTGTTTTTTTTTCTTTTTGACTCAATTTTGCTAATTACATACAAAATAATATTAATCTGACTCTTTATTTTCCTAGAGAATAATAATCAAAACTCTAATGCATGTCTGTTTCACAGGCTTACGCATCCCCAATCTACTCATAGTTTTGACAGAAGTTCCATTCATAATTGCTTTACTTCCCCTCCTGAGTGTACCTATAAATTTAAGGAGGAGAAGTGAAAAATAAGGAGACATTTAAACAGCTTTATATAAAACGATGGCTCACCATTTCTAATCCCAAATCAGCTTAAAATGTAAGCCTGTCTCTCAAAACAGTGTCCAGTGAAGCAGATCATGCAATTTATTTTAAAATGTTTTTTTTTTTTCTTCAGCATAAGTAATTTTGGTTCTATCATTTCTTTCCCCAGCTCATCCTGCTTGATTTTTTTTAAACCGTCTTCATCAGTCTTCTCTAGCCAGAGATCTGAAACAAGCACTGGGTCAGTATTGAGTGGAGCCGGGAGATTATTATGAGAGTTCCTACAGCGTGTGCTGCTCTGAGCAGAGCTTTGTACAGTGGGAAAATCACACTTAATTTTCTGACCCTTGGAACATCACCAATGTCACTAGATGAGTACAAAATAACACTGATCTGACTTCTCTCTTTTTCAAAGAGAATGGCAAATAAACTTGTAATTACACAGTGTGCATTGCTGCTGGCAGTGACTTCCTTGTTTCCAGCAGCACAATGAGTCACACTTTGTAGTGGGCACTTTCCGTATGCTGGCTCACTCCCGATTCAAAACAAATCTGCTTGGTATTACTCTCATTTATCAGAAAGGAAACTGAAACTCTGAGACGCAAGGACCAGAGCTACGGTTGCAACTCACATCTTTGTCATGAGACACCTCATCTTTCCAATCTGCGTCACTGAATGCTTGACAATGTGAAAGGAAAAACCAAACTCCTTACACATTTTATCATTTTATAATAATAAAGCTATGGGGTAATGCATGGCATAACCAACCACCTCATGAAAATGCACAGCCTCATTTAAAAGAGACATTCATATTAGACAAGGAGTCAGCTATGTCCAGAAAACACCACATAGCACATTGTTTGTTTAAAAAAAATGTTTTCCTAACAAGGCTTTCTCTAGAAATCTCCAGAGATGAAAGCAAGAATGAATAAAAGCTTTGAGGAACAGAATATTCTACTTGGGAGACTAGGCCTTAAGGTTCATAGAGCCCTAAGACAATGGTCTCCAACTGTGTGCTTCCCAACTATGTTGGGTGTTTAAGTGGAAAACATATTTGAAGTTCATGGCAGGGCTTCATGTTCAGAGAAGAAATGCAACATATGCTTCACTTTCCCATCACAGGCAGTACTTTGCCAAAGGTTGTTAGTTTACCTAAATTAAAGTAAATTTATTACTGGTGTGGATCCAAATTTGGTCTTTTCTTTGTAATAGATGAGAGGTCTACCTCCAGACACAAGAGGTTAATAAACTATCCTGTAAGCTTGTTACTCAGAGAGACAAAGATAAATACAGCTACAAAAGAGCTCACTTTGATTTAAGGTATTTTAGGATTTTTTTGACTGATGTAGTTCACATTGATTAAATTATTGGAAGACTGGAAACTTCTGTATTTTACCGTGTCTGCAAAGACACAGGTTGAAAATCCAAGTCACCTCCGTGCTATTATTTCTAAAATTGAAGAGTTCTTAGTCATTTCCCTGGTAACACACCATGAATGAGAATTACACATCCTCTGTTGGAACTGCAGTTGTTCAACTCATAGATGCTAACAGTTACTTGAAATAGTTTTATACAATTCTGTGTTAAAAACAAACAACAATTCATTATAAAAATGGATCCTCTCTGCATACAACCTTGTGGAAATGCAGATGAGCAGCTCAGTCTGGCTAAATGATTGACTCCATCATTGGCTTTTCTGGAAAAAAAAAAAAATCTAGCCAATCAACTTTGAGAACATTTCACACGGGGTTAAATTTTCTGGGCATAAGAAAGATTTTAGGCTCTTATTATTTTAACCTAGAACAAAGTTCTAAAGGTATGGTAGAATGGAAAATTTGGAGACTCCAAAGATCTATCTGATTGTGGCAAATTTTATTTCCTATGCATTTTGTTTCTTGTATTCAACCTTTTAAAGCAAACATTAAAGACTGGTGGCCAGGGGCTTAACCTAGGTACAGAAACTTCATATTACCACTCTATATTGCCTTATGTCTATTGTCTTTATGAAAACAAATGATTTTCTTGCCTCTGAAAAATTAAATGATTTTTCTTGTTTCTTTATGAGATTCATGCTTCAATCTATCTCTTAAATATGATATGGGAATTCATATAGTTAAAGTACACAATTGTGACAAATTGTCAATACTACTCAGGTTAAGTTTAGCATGATGCCTAGCCCAGAGTTGGTATTCAATAAATTGTACATATTACCACATAAGAATATCTTTTGGGTGTTTAAGAAATCTTTCTGGTCCTTCCAGTCTACATAGTATAGCAAATCCAGGCTTCTGGCTTCAGACTGGCCGAACTCTCACTTGAGTATACATACAACAGAAATGAAATCCATCTATAGAAGAGACATCTGTGCTCGCAGGGTTACTACAGCACTGTTCAGACTAGCCAGGAAATGGAAACAGCCTAAATGTCCATCCACTGATGAATGGATAAAGACGATGTGGCAAATATACTTAAGAGGGTATTACTCAGTCATAGAAAAGGATAAATATCTTGTTAGGTACAACAACAGGGACTGAACTAGAGATCATTATATTAACTGAAATAAGCCACGCCCAGAAAGCCAAATATCATTTGATCTCATTCATATGTGGAGTCTTAATGAAATTGACCTCATAAAACTTAAAAATAGAATTGTAGCTACCAGAGGCTGGGGAGGGAAGTGGGTAGGAGGGATTGGTGAAGGCTGTTTGACCAGTGCTGGGTTATAGCTGGAATTGAGTAAAAAGTTCTAGTGTTCTATTGAATAGTAGGATGCAGCTAGATATGTTAAAAAGCTATAATATACGACATTGGGATATTTCCAATATAAATAAATGTTAAATACTTGAAAAGATAAATATATTTACCCCGACTGGACATCACTTATGTGTACATGTAATGAACATCACATAATACCCTATAAATATGTATAATTTTTAACATATGTTAAAATTTTAACAAACTAAAAAATCAAAAGACAAATTTTACAAAATACTATAAAGAATTCTTTCCTTTTATCCCATATGTTCCTATTCCTTTGTCATTAGAGAATGCCTGCATTTCATTTTTTAAAAATTTTCTTCAAATTACCTTGTCCAAAATAAGCTTTCTTGTGCACACTCTTAACACCTCGGTATCCCAAGCTCCTGCAGACAACCTGCCCGGCACGCAGTTCCCAGTGATCATCACAAACTGTGCCCCACTGTCCATTGTGCAATATCTCCACTCTACCCTCATGAGGGCCACGGCCACCAACCAGTCGGACAGTCGCAGAAGGAGCTTGAAACAAAAACAAATTAGAGTCAATTATGTACGTATCATTTGATAATGCTTTGGTTTTTTTCAAAAAGACTTTTAGCACATTTTCCCAGTAAATTTCACTATTAGAATAAATATTAAACTTTCTGGCGCCACCTTTTGGTATAGAATTTAACTGCAACCATTGCACTTGTAAAAAGTGAAGAGTAAAATCCGTTCTAAGAGTTACCTGTTACATATGCGTTAATTAGAACTTCAAAGATTATGTTGCAATAGTTTAAAAAAAATCAACAGTCACTTGTTTATCAGTGTTATGTAGATTTTTAATAGTATTAGAATCACTTATAGCAAAATGACTCATTGTTTCCTTGATCCACTGACACATAAGCAGTGATTTTCAATAATATTGAAGGGCACCAGGCAGATACTTTATATTAACATAAATAGCAAAATGGGTCGGCAACCGTCACAGCTTTTACCAAGAGAAACGCGGTGACTACAGTGACAACATTCATTCAGGAACAGCAATGAGATTCCTTGTTATGAGGTCCCTGGATTATGTCTTTTTTTTTTGACAGGCAGAGTGGACAGTGAGAGAGAGAGACAGAGAGAAAGGTCTTCCTTTTGCTATTGGTTCACCCTCTAATGGCCGCCGCGGCCAGCGCACCGCGCTGATCCGATGGCAGGAGCTAGGAGCCAGGTGTTTTTCCTGGTTTCCCATGGGGTGCAGAGCCCAAGCACCTGGACCATCCTCCACTGCACTCCCTGGCCACAGCAGAGAGCTGGCCTGGAAGAGGGGCAACCGGGACAGAATCCGGCGCCCCAACCGGGACTAGAACCCGGTGTGCCGGCACCGCTAGGCGGAGGATTAGCCCAGTGAGCCGCAGCGCCGGCCCCTGGATTATGTCTTGAAAGTTTGTCTTTTTGGAAAAATAATGAGACGAAAAATAAGAATATTTTTGTTTATTTTGAGAAATTAGTAAAGCAGTAAGCTTTCAAAGAAATAAACTATGTTTATAAATTCAAAAGTAATTTTGCTGTGTAATGTCTAAGTAAGCAAACTTGCTTACATAATTCTAGTCACGTGACAAACATTTACATAAATACAGCATAAATATGAAATGGTCTTTTCTTATTTTTGAAATCAACATATATATTTTATTTAAGATTTATTTTATTTATGGAAAGATAGAGTTACAGAGAGAACAAGAGAGAGCAGGACAGAGATCTCTGATCCACTGGTTCACTCCCCAAATAGCTATAATGGCTGGGGCTGGGCCAATCCGAAGCCAGGAGTAAGGAGTTTCTTCCAGATCTCCCATGTGAGTACAGGGGCCCAAAGACTTGGGCCATCTTCTGCTGCTTTCCCAGGCACATTAGTAGGGGACTGGATCAGAAATGGAGCAGCTGGGACTTGAAATGGGACCCATATGATATGCTGATGCTACCGGCAGTGGCTTAACCCACCACGCCAAAACAATGGTCCCATCAACATATATATTTTAAATGTAGGAATAGATAAATAAAAGTGGACAATTAATACTATGAAAATAATCACTTGAGTGTCAAAGTTCTTAAACAGACTATTCTTTTTTTTATTTTATTTTTATTTTTTTAACAGGCAGAGTGGACAGTGAAAGACAGAGAGAAAGGTCTTCCTTTTGCCATTGGTTCACCCTCTAATGGCCGCCATGGCCGGCGCGCTGCCGCCGGCGCACCACACTGATCCGATGACAGGAGCCAGGTACTTGTCCTGGTCTCCCATGGCGTGCAGGGCCCAAGTACTTGGGCCATCCTCCACTGCACTCCCTTGCCACAGCAGAGAGCTGGCCTGGAAGAGGGGCAACCGGGACAGAATCTGGCGCCCTGACTGGGACTAGAACCCGGTGTGCCTGCACCGCAAGGCAGAGGATTAGCCTAGTGAGCCGCGGCGCCGGCCCAGACTATACTATTCTAACAAGCATTTGTTTAAGAAACTATTTCCTTCTTATAAAACTTTTTTTGGCTTATTTGAAAAAAAGAGGCACACAGAGACAGGCAAAGACAGATAGACAGATATTGTCCATCCTCTGATTCACTCCCCAAGGCCCACAGCATCCATGGTTGAGCTAGGCCAAAGTCAGGAGTTTATTTATTTGAAAGTCAGAGTTATGCAGAGAGAAGGGTGACAAAGAAAGAGATAGCTCTTCCATATGCTGGTCCACTCCCCTGCCGGCTGCCACAGCCAGGACTGGGCCAGGCTGAAGCCAGGAGCCAGGAATTTAATCAGGGTCTCCCACATGGGTGGCAGGGGCCCAAACACTTTGGCCATCTTCTGATGGCAGGGGATATTGGCTACACCATGAGTCCAGACTCAGTCAAAAACATTTTTTAAAGAGAAAATGATTTGCTATTACATATTAAAATGTTCAACTGCTGAGTAAATCAGCTGGATGACCTAATCATTTATTGCAGTTGTCTAAGAAAACACAAGAATGGACTGTATAAAGTTTTAAAATGCTGTAACATTTAACATGTAAAATATTATAACAATTTAACATATTGTATTATTCAGTGTCATGCTCAAATTTTTATGCAAGTCAAACATATCCAAGCCTAACACATTTATTATGCATACAAAAGAAAAAAATCAGGCATATTCAAACATTGATTAAATGAGGTTGATTTTCTTGTTGCCCAAACAAGTGTGAGTAAGCATCCTTACTGTTCATTCTTTTCCCCCTACCTCTCCCAAAAGGTCATTAATAAGCCCTATATCTCCTGGTTCTCTTACTTTGGTATGAAGCAGAATCACATGTTACTGGACTTGCATCTGATCCACCAGTCTGAAATGGTACCAATAACTGTACTTGAACAGGTTTCCAGGTTATGCATATGCTGTTGTCCCAGAGACCACACTTTGAGAACTACTAACCTAAAAGTTTGCATTATTTATTTAAACAGCTGCAGATGTATAGAATCCTACGGTCAGTTATTGCAAAGAAAATGGTCACAGATTTCTTTCAAATTTCCCATGCAAGTGGGATTCTGAGCAAGGGTAAGTCTCTATTCACTCTTTAGGGCCAAATATGTATGGACTGGTCCATGCATATCTGTCACCTGAAATATCTAATGATTATAAGTAAATACTGACAGATGGCCACATGGTACTGACCCTCAGTTGTCTCTGAACTCACATGGAAGAAAGAGGCAGGTAAAAAATTTATTCCAGACTGGGTATCATGTATCACGCAACTGTTCTGTTTTGATGATGGAGAAAAGCTCATTTTGTCATCAGCATCAATCACAGCATTTTCTTAGGAAAAATACAGACTGGAATTTTCTTTGAATTTAGCTAACTCATCATTATATGATGTTCCAAGGTGAGAGGGCTTGCTGGGTAACTCTGAACAGCTTTCCCCAGACCAGAAGCGGGTTTTGCCAGCTCAGGGGCAGACACATATTACAGAGAACAGTTGGGACTAAGTGCCAACTCAATTTACATTTCTTCAAAAACTGTAGTATTTGAATCTGTTTGACAAGGCCATATTTCCCAATTGGCAATCCACCTGATAATGTGGATTATAACCAACGAAATATTTGTTCAATTAATTTATTAATTTACTATGAGACATGTGAGTTTTTGCTATAGAACTGTTTTTTGTTAATACATTTTTCATTATGTATGTTAATACCTTCAATCGAGTTGGATAATTTAACATAACTTTGCCCCAGTTTCTTATATGCTCCTTCTATAGCTTAAGTGTCAGTAGACAACCTCTTGCTTTGTAGTTCCTGAGGAATGTCTAGAACTGGTGGCTTTAGGTTTTTTAAAGTCTGAATATAAAATAGAATATGTATATAAAATAATTCTACACAAACAATTCATTTGTATTTATGACCAAAAGACACCACAAGAAAAATAAGAGTTGATAATTTTAAAAATGAATAAATTATTTTGTAATCTGAGGAAATAAATCCAAATATGGTAAACAGCAACAATTTCAGGAGTTTATTATAGTTTTATTGTAACCGTTGAAATCTTTACTTAACATATACTAAATTGATCTTCTGTATATAAAGATAATTGAAAATGAATCTTGATGTAAATGGGATGGGAGAGGGAGCGGGAGATGGGAGGGTTGCGGGTGGGAGGGAAGTTATGGGGGAGGGGAAAGCCACTATAATCCAAAAGCTGTACTTTGGAAATTTATATTTGTTAAATAAAAGTTAAAAAGTTTTATTGTAAAGGGTAGAGGTAAAGCAGAAATAGGATAAAGATAGAAGAATAGGTAAATTAATTATAGTATATATATAATTGGTAGATAGTTCCAGAAGCATTAAACATAATGTTAAAATGACTATGCAGAAAATGGGGGTGGTGGTGAAAAAATAACATTGAATTAATATACTGAGATTAAAAGCTTACATTATAATTACGCAAAAATTTTTTGCTATATTATAACACTGGAAGGAAGTTTCCAGAAATAGTAACTATAATTTATTATGATATAAAAAAATTGAATATGTGATCTTTCTCCTATTTTCTGTAACTGTAATATTTTTAAAACTGGTTAATTACATTAAAATAAATAGTAGGCTAGATACTAATATCTTTACTGTTGCAAAGGGTCTACGACACAAAGCTGAAATTCACTCATGAAATTGAAGTGAGAAAACATTTCAGAATGACAGCTAGAATATAATATCACTGATCTAAACATATGAAACAGTATCAGCTGTGTTTATGTGTACACACATATATTAAGTAAATGCATAAAAATGTCAATGGGAAGAACCAAATAGACACCAAGATAAAGGTTTATATTGGGAAGCAAGAAGAGGCATCCCTGGGGCTTTGATTGTATTCCGAACATTAAATTTCTTGAAAAACAAATAACTGTAGCCAATATGATAAATGATACCATCATGGAAATCCAGGTAGTATGTATATACCTATGTATTGGCTATTGACTATAAGCATCCTCTCTTCTTTCCTTCTGTCATGTGCCACATAATATTTCAATCAATGAACACAGTGG